GATTGATTTCAGACCAAACTTCAGTAAATCCACGATTCAGTAAAATAAGTTTGAAACCAATCAATTTAAAAGTTCCCTGGGAGTATAGAATTTTATCCAAGCTCATTACTGAAAATTACATAGAAAACCATCTAATGATTTTTTTTTCCATTCCGTTTTGTCACAATATATCAAATACGTTGAGCAAAGAGCGTTATCAGATCCTCGAAATAAAAATAACATCGATTTAAAAATTGCATTGGCTATAATATTACAAAGTTTCCTCATGGAAATGAGGTATCCGCCCTTTAATTTCCCATAAATCAAATCGACCCACCCTGGATATTTGTAAATGGAATGTAAATTAATTAGAAGGCGTCGTTCAGCTCCACAATGGATAGCCGCAGCTCGGCGGTGGGCGCTAGCTAGTTCGATCTGGCGACCATATCCAGTCCGCCCTCCTCCTCCATTTTGCTGAGGAACTTGATAACCCGCTGGTGGGGCTCCGATTGCCGTATCATGTCGTTGAGGGCCAGCAGCTTCTTGATGCCGATGCACACTCGCTTGCCGGCCATATTCCTGGCAATATTCTGCAGCTCCTCGGGGCTGAAAAAATCCGAGTCATCCAGGACGGCGAGCACATGCTCGGCGGTTGAGAGATTGGACACGTGCAGTACGGACGTAAAAGCCGGTAGCATTTCCATCTCTTCGAGAACATCTCGCCGGCTGGAAGTGCACAGGATCAGCAGTTTTCGGCCCTTGGGCGGCTGTTTCTTCAGCAGCACCAGAAGGGCCTGCAGCGTCAGATTGGAGTACCTCGGCCCAATGGGCCCGTAGTCAAGCAATCTCTCCACATTGTCCACCACAATGCAGCTCAAGGTGGAGCGATAGGCGTCGTCGAAGATCTTGCGGATGTGCAGGCACTTGGCGGACTCCGTGAAGCCCACCATATCCTCTGGGGAGCAGACCTTGACAAACGGGAAGTCGCTCATCTTGGCCAGATTAGCGGCCAGCGCTGATTTGCCAGAGTTGGGGGCTCCCTCGATAAGAACGGACACCAAACCGGAGCTCTCGGTGGCCTTCGCTTGCTGCACGGACAGCATTCCATCCTCCAGGAGACCAGTGACCGGTGGACCCCAGTTTATAATTCCGCGCGCCAGTAGATTCTCCAACATTTCCTGCGCGGCTCCAAAGGCGGGCTTGATGTCGTTATCCAAGGCGTGCACAAAATCGGCGCGGGTTACTCGCAACTTCTCCATAGCCTCAGGATCCACATGAACCTAGGGGTATTTTAAAGTGTATTAATATATTAATCCGGAGAATATGGATTGCTAATATATAGATAAACGTTTAGTTTAACAATTATAATTTTTTTTACATCGTATCCGACCGAATAATAACCGTCTTACCGCAACCGAAATTAATTAAACGCGAGAACCGAAACCGTATTCGAAGGAGAAAGAACTGAAATGAATATATAAACCTAATAAATAACCGGTTTAGTAAATTTTAAAATAAAATAACGCATTGATATCAAACACCAAACTTTTTAAAACCTTAACCTCCGAAATTACACAGAAAAATGGTAATGGTCAATTTGATATTTTTTAAAGAACAAGTTTTTCATATCATTTTAATATGATTAAAGATTATGTTAATCTTTTTTTTATATTATTTGCTAAAAAATACTAAATTTGGTATTTTTTATGATATGATAGAATATCATGTTGATATAATTAAATCTTAAAATTGACACAAATCATTTTTTATTGATATGAAATAAGGTAGAAATAACCCTATTTCATATCGGTTTTTTTTTCTGTGCCTAAGAAATCCTACCTTAGAATCCGCCTTGATTAGGCGGTTCATGGCCGTGGACTGAGCCGCTCTAACCAATCCCTCCAGCTCCGCGCCACTGAAGTTCTTTGTCCTGGCCGCAATCTCATTGTTGTCCACATCGCTGGCTATCTTGTTGTAGTCCCGCATCCGTTTCGTGTGAATGTTGAGGATCTGAACGCGTCCCTGCTCGTTGGGCAGGCTGATCTCCATTTGGACTTCCAAGCGGCCGGGTCGCAGCAGCGCCTCATCGATCATGTCCCGCCTGTTGGTCATCCCAATCACCAGGATATTGTTCAGCTGCTCCACGCCGTCGATCTTGGCCAGCAGTTGATTGACGACCGTGTCGTGGACCCCGCTGTTGCCGGCCACCGAGCCACGGGCCTTGCAAATGGCATCGATCTCGTCGAAGATGATGATGTGCAGACCACTGTTCGGCCCCAGGCGCTTCTCCTCCTCCTCGGCCTCGGCGAACAATCGCCGGATATTGGCCTCCGACTCGCCCACGTACTTGTCCAGGATCTGCGGGCCATTCACAATCTTGGGCTCGCGGGCATTCAGCATGGTTCCAATTTGCCGGGCCATCAGGGTTTTGCCCGTGCCAGGTGGTCCATATAAAAGGATACCCTTCACGTGCTTGATGCCCAGCTGCTCGACCAATTCGGGCGGGAAAACGCGAGAGGCGAAGGCGCGTCGGAAGATCGCATTGAACTCCTTGTCCAGGCCACCAATGCCCATCTTACCAAAGTCCCAGTCCGGATTGATGATCGACTGGCGCACAATCTTACCCTTGGAGCGACCCTGCAGATTGAGGACGGAGTTCTCGGCCTTCTCGAACTGCACCACCGTGTTGCCGAGGATGCGACCGAAACGAACGTTCCTGGTTTTTGGCAGAGCATCTCCCACTGTTCGGGGATCCACTGCCTCCAGGGTTTTCACAGCGAGGCCGAGGAATTTCTTGTCTTTGAACTGAAAGGGAGTAAGCAGATGCCGATATGAAAACTTGCCTAGGAAAAAGCTTAAATGATTTGGAGGAACCACAACCTAATAATGCTTTTACATTCTAATAATAGGTACCTAATATAATATGGTATTATGCAGGTTTAAAAGACTCTTAAAAAACATTTATGGCATAAAGCCAATTGCTTTCTCAGCGTACACAGCGCACACATTATATATCGTGGGTCATCAAATGTATATGCATTCAAATTTGTGAAAGGTACAACGCAGAAGTTTGCATCATGGTGTCAATAAGGTCATTGTTTAAAATACAAAATATGAATCAGCATCCAGTTTATCGAGAGTCTGGATTCTAGACAAACGGGTATAGTATGTATACTATATAGTAGGTATAATAACTTAATAATAACAGATAACTAGTAATAATTACTAAAATATTTTTTGATTTTCAGAATGTAATTTCGTCATGAAAATGACTAAGTTACTTATTATCACAATAAAAACTGGTGAAATAGTAAAAAGGTGCAGCTATGCGTACGAATATAATTTTAGGTAATCCCCAAATAAAAGTTATTGATAAATGTTTTTTGGGGGTGTGGGAGCTGACAAGGGACAAGTAAGGAATATTATCTAAATTTTTTTCTTTAAATAACATCCTAATTTAGGGACTAACCAACTAAAGGACCTATCATATTACAAAAAAATATTATATCATATTTAATCCTTCTGAAAGCCTATTAAAAAAGAATTATCCCTAAATCCTACCTGGAAGACCAGGGTTTGTCCGACGGTCAGGGGCATCCCGGCGAACTGCATGAGGAACTCCTTGGCCATCTCGTCCGAGTCGTAGGGCTCCTGCGTGGTGGTCTTCTTCTGCAGGAAGTCCGTCTCGAAGGACACGAGTGTGATGATATCGGCGCTGGCGTCGAATCGGTAGGGTCGCACGTCGATTTCCTGGTTGATGGAGAGCGTGGCCCACTTCCGTTGGACGAGCGAGAATCCGACGTGGCCGAGCGGCAGTTCCGCCCCGCTGATCTTCTCCAGCGCGAAGATGAAGTGCAGCCCCGGGCCCGGCGAGATGTCCGCATATCTGGGGGGAATTGGCGGGGTAATTAGTGGAAAGAAAGAAAAGAGACGCCCACGTAGTCAGTGGAAAAAAACAAGACCCCGGGACACTTACTTGACCTCCTCCGTGAAATCGGATGCATTCACAATTGCTTTGTTCGTCAGCGACAGTTCGTCCGTGGGGCATTTGATCGCCCTCATCACCCTCATTTCAACAGACATTTTCCAAATGTAAAACTAAGATTTTTCAGCAGAATTTAACAACAGTCCCCAAAATTGACTAAGCAATCAGCTGTTTTAACGCAGCCCTGGCGCTGTGTGTGTGTATTCACTGTGCATGCCAGCAAATGCTGCCTGCTACGACATTGCAAAACGGTTATTTGAATACAAGAGCGCGCTTTTTTAGTAAATATTCAAATATTTTGAATGAATTTTAATGGAATATTTAATTTATTCCAGCAATATTATACTAATATTAATAAGAGATTTACCAATCAATTATTTTATTATATACATTTAGCGGCTGTCCATACTTTACGGTATCATCAAGTTTGATAAGAAAGCCCCTTATCTAAAAACAAAAGGGGAAGTACCAATTTTGAGTCATAATTTTACTGCACCTGCAAATAAAATAATTGTACAATGGGCGACATTTTAAAATTATATAATTTTTATTTTTGCATAAAATACACATTGAGTTAGTAAAACCCTCTTATACACATATTGGCTTTGCTAATCACAGTAGTGGGCTGTTCGACTGGAGATACATTTAAAAAGCTTAATGGAATTGAAGCTTATACGACCAAACCTAGAGTCTTTTATCATAGGACATAGAGATAAGGTGTGACTTCTCATATAAAAGTTTAAATAGTTTAAATTCCTGTAAAGTATGTATGGAATGACAAAGAATCAGATACATAGGACCTTCAAAATCACTCTTTGTGAAGCTTACAATATGGCATTACAAATATATAAAATATAATGGTATAAAAATCTGATTGTGATATAGTAGTATTAGTAGTAGTAGTAGTAGTAAGCTACCTTCGAATACAATGTGGACCTTCAAAATCACTCTTAGTGAAGCTTACAATATGGCATTACACATAATTAAGGTGTTAAAATTAAAAATTATGGATACAAGATTGCATTTGTGAAATTGAAGGTGGGTTTTAAAGCAAATAAAGTACTTCAAACGGTGGAATTAGGCTCGAAGATCCTCCCAGCCCATGGCCTCGCCCATTTTCTCCAGGAACTTGGCGGCCCGGCGATCCGGCCTTAGAGGATTCACAAAGGTAATCAGCTCCAGCAGCCGCTTGATGCCCATGGAGATGTTCCGGCCCTCCATGGCGGCCTCAATGTGACGCATCTCCTCGGGCTCAAATCGTTTTAAGGCTTCCATCACGGCCATAATGTGGTCAGGCCTGGAGAGATTGGGCACATGGCGAACGGCAGTGAAGACCGACAGCAAGCCCAGCTCCTCCAGGACATCACGGCGATTGGAGGTGCAGAGGATGAGCAGGCCGTGACCCCTGGGCGGTTGTTTCCTCAGGAGAACCATCAGCGTTTGCAATATCTTTTCAGAGTAGCGCTTTCCCACGGCACGAAAGTGGAGGACTCGCTCAAAATCGTCGACGATGACGCAGCTTTGTGGGGAAACACAGGCATCCTTGAGAATGTTTTCTATGTGCCGACACGTTTCTTCTTCGTCTTTCCCCAAAAGATCCGCTGGCTTGATGATATTTATATAGGGGAAGTCACCTTCCAGAGCGATTTGAACGGCAACGGTGGATAATCCCGACTTGGCATCACCCTCGATCAACTGGCAAGACAATCCCTCGAAATGTTCATACCGGGGGAGATCCTGATCCGTTTGTATGTATCCATGGGACATGGTCTCTTGGAGAGCCTCCTCCTGCACCCCGAATCGTGGTTTAATGGCCTGGAGGGCAGTCAGAAAATCAACCTGCTTGATGCGCTGATCCTCGTCGGGAGAACAGGTGACTTCTCTTCGGAGACTGGCTGCAATATACACTTCCCTCAAAACCAATTGGCGCAGCTCGTCCCTTGTGAAATTGACGGTTCGACTTGCAATTTCCTGCGGGCAAACATCATCGGCGAAAAAGAAATTACCAATCGTCTTAATGAGAGAACCCACGAACTCCACTCGCTCATCGAGGTTAAGAAGGGTGCTGTCGACCATATTGGACAACGTGTTTCTTCTGCTTTAACTTGAAAAATTGACTTTTTCAGTAGAATTTTCTAATTTTCTTTTGCCTAGTGAAATTGCCAATTTCTTCTCACGTCCGCACGATCAGCTGCTTTAACAGAAAGTGGTTCTGTTCTTAACTGTTAAGTGTTAACAGGTGATTCATCGATTACCCTACATTTATTAGGGAATTCCCTGAATTGTTGAAATTCAAAATACAAATTATATACTTTCAAATCAAATTAGAAAGTATTATTTTAGCAAGATTACGTAACAGGGAACCGTCTAGGGAATGCATAGAATATATTTGTAGAAAATAACACTGTGCAGCATTTTTAGTGCTTTTTAAATTTACCTCGATGGATGCTATATTTTTGGATTCGTTACGAATTCCCAAGTTAAACTGCGTTTTTCAAAAAGTTCCCCGACGCAAGGATTCTTAGCAAAAGGACCTCAAAGTTCGAAAAACGCTGAAATTGGCCAACTTTGCGGAGCTCTCAGAGGCAAATGGATGCATGGTTTGATTCGATGTTAAAGTTTTTTTAAAGATACGCCCTTTATCTTTTAAACCCCATACTTAAAAAATTTTTAAGATTTTTTTTAAGGCAGAAACAAATTCTAGAAAACATAGTCAAAAAACTTAAAAACATACAGCTGCGGTCAAAATAGTAGTAGTGTTGCCGCCCTGTGTTTTTAAAAGTTTGTTGTTGTAATTCATCTTCTTCTGGTGATATTGTATTGATTATAATTTTACTATTGGACTAATTGGATAAGAAAAATTACAACATCAAACTATTAAAAACACAAGGCGGCAACACTGCTACTATTTTGACCGCAGCTGTATGTTTTTCAGTTTTTTGACTATGTTTTTGGAATTTATTTCTGCCTTAAAAAAAATCCTAAAATTATTTTATGTATGGGGTTTGTAAGATAAAGGGTGTATCTTTTAAAAAACTTTAACTTCGAACCAAGCCATGCATCCATTTGCCTCTGAGAGCTCCGCAAAGTTGGTCAATTTCAGCATTTTTCGAACTTTGAGGTCCTTTTGCTAAGAATCCTTGCGTCGGGGAACTCTTTGGAAAACGCAGTTTAACTTGGGAATTCGTAACGAATCCAAAAATATAGCATTCATCGAGGTTAATTTTTGATGCTGCATAGTGTAATTAATTTTTATGGTTTTCCCGCCAAACTATGTGACCAGCTTGGGAAATCGGTATTTTCCAAAAAATAACAGAAATGGTATTTTTGAAAAATATTGTGTTTCCACTGATCGATCAGAAAAGTGCGCGCGAAATTTAAGTAACAACTTGGCTTAACATTCAAGACAATAATAATGCAAATACAAACAAGACAATAATAATAAGACAAACATGTTAACATTTTAACATAACAAAATTTTTATTATACGATATTTCCTTTAAAAAAAAAGTATTACCCTATGATTTTTATCATTTTAAAAAAATTTTGAACCAATCGATAGGAATGCGGTTATCGATTGACGATGAGTAATGACCGTTACAGCTTAAACTCCTTTTTGATGTATGATTTTCCTGAGTTCTGCTCCGTTTGCTAAAACCTATGAAAGTATTACAGAATCCCACTGGTTGCTCCCCGCTTTTCGGCTCTTCTGCTCGATGGCCGTGCAATTATTTCCGATGCCGCATTTTTCTTCGTTTCTTTGCCGTTGACCTCGCGCAGTTAATCATTCGCATCGATAATTGGATAGTGGATGTCTCTATTCGTTCTGGGCTTCCCGCACAAATTTATAGCGTGCATTATATTCGGACAGTTTAATTGGGTATCGACATTTATTAATTTTCCCGGCCTGCTTTAGTATAATGCCGGTAATTTGTTGTTTCATCCGAATTTGACCACTCAAGGCTTTCAACACTCCCCATCCGCTGGGTTTCCCTTTTTTTCAGGCCATTTCATTTGCATGCTCAAAGGGAAGGAGACTCTCGCGTCAGCTATGCACATTAATTAGGCCGGTTCATTAGACACATGTCCATCAAAAGTGGCCCAGGTCCAGGTTTGGGTTTGGGTCGAGTCGTGGTCCAGAGCCGAGATCCAGACTTGACGACTGAGCCGCCGGCGAGGTAATATATATACGTATATATCCCGATCACAACTCGGCTGCCTCTCGTGTTGCCTGTTTTATGTAATTAAGCCAGGCGTTCACTATTTAAATTGCTGCCGGGTGGCGCGGGGAAGTCCAGGAGCGACACTGAAACTGAGAAAGAGCTCGGGATTCAGGCAGTTAAAAAATGTATTTTAAAGTTAATTTAATAATTAATTAAATTTTAATTCGTTCTAAAAAATAAGTAGAAAAATAAGTTCATTATATTTAAGTTAAGTGGTTTTGTAAACGTACGGCCATTTTCTCATCCCTTAGTTAAATTTAAAGTAGGGTTTAAACCTTGAAAAACTTTGAGAAATCAAAGTTTAAAGCTTCCTTGTTCCTTGAATGTTTAAATTTAAACTATTTTAAAAATCTTTTCAAAAGTTAGAGGTCCACAAAACGTTTTAACGTTTATTAATTTATAAATAAATATTTTTTTTATAAAGAAACCAGTTAAATGTAATATTAAATGTTAAAATTCAGTTGATTAGTTACTAAATTTTTCAGAGTGCACCCCATATGCGCCTGGGTGTATCACGAATTGGCAATTGAGGGCCAGCCGAATTGCCCGAAAGCCCGGGCCTTGGCCAAGTGCAATTTGCGGGTAGGGCAGCAGCCTCCGCATCGAGATCCGCATCCTCATCGCCATCCTCGCGAGGAGATCGAGAGTTGCAGTCCAGACGGGAGACTCGAAACTCGATCCTCGAGACTCGAGACGTTCGCTCGTCAGCGCTTGAGCCAATAATTATGGTTATTAATCGGCCTGGGAATTGGCTGCTAATTTGCAGTTTAGTTACAAATTCTGGCCGCCAGCGTGCAATTACCCGCTTAAATTATAGCCTCAAAATAAACAAAACACCGCAACGCCAACGAGAATCGCTGGACGCGATGGTCAGTTCACTTTATTTTAAAGAAGAGAACAGAACAGTTCAGCAGTCGGCAAAAGGTCACACCAACAGACACACGCAGAAAAATGAATTTATTACAATTGCATTTATAGTAAAATATTAAATTTTCAACCAAGATTTTGAATCTGAGATTTTGATCTGATTTATATAAATATCTTCCTTGCGATCCTTACTTGTGGAAATGGTAAAATTTAAATATTAAGAAATATAATGTGAATTATTTTGTATCGCTTTAAGTAATTTAAATAAAACAAACTTGCTTTAAAATTAAACTATCTGTTATAAATTTATAAAAAATATTTATATATACATATATTTATTAAATTAAATCGTAGAGTTCCTAAAACTCTCTTAAATAAAAAATATGGAAATACTTAAAAAAACTATTTTGAATAAAAGCAAATTCCCAAATGGTTAGTATTATTTTTTTTGGCAAAAGATTACTGCGAAGCATCCAAGCACATTTGGCTTTATGCGTGTTTGCTTATCACGAGTCTTATCGCCGATTAGGCCGGGTCAATACCGCACATCAGCTAATGATGCTGCTGAGATCGGGGCTGCCAGGCCGCCAACTCCTGGAACTCGTAATTAGACGCCAGTTCTGGGGCGTTACTCAATCAAGAGTTGATGGCACAACCCCCTTTCCGTCCGGCGGAGCATCATCATCATTATCATCACATCACCATCATCATCATCGGAGGAGCGGAGCAACAGCAACTATCCTGATCGAGCCCAACTACAACATAATTTCCAGACGTCGACGCGTCGCTCTTCCAATTTCGGAGGCGCGCTGGCAACACTTTTGGGCCTCCAAATCAAATCGTGTGCTGTTTATTTAAATAACCATAATTTAGCGCACCATCCGCAGATCCAGGGCCGCTCTTAACCCGCTTCTGCCCCTTTACTCCACTGCTTCTGGGGCTATTTATTAACCCACACACTCAACGGATCCGAACTTCACTGCAGCACTGAACCGCGGCGATCCTTGACTTTTATGGCCTGGCACATGATTTTCCCGGCCTGTGAGAACATAAAAATTCAATTTAATATGCTCCCCAAGATCTTTATACCCATCGGATTTAGCTGGAAAGCGTTTTGTCTTTGGCCGGCATTCAATGAAACTCTGTTTACTATTGTGGCCCATATGCAATCAATGCCGGTTATGTCAGCCCATCTGAATTTGTCGTGGGTGTTTGTTTGTGGGATCGTTTTGTCCATAATTATGGTTATATAGATTCCAATCTGAGCACGCCATAAAATGCGATTCAAATCGGTGTACTTATTATTGCATACTTTTCGGAAAACCCATTGAAGAGTATTTTTCAAATGAGAATTCTGCAATTCAGAATTCCAATTAGGTATTGTATTAGTGTCATGACTAGAACTATTATTAAACCATTATATTAAGATTAATATTTTATTTAATACAAATAAATAATCAAAATACTACCTTGGTTTTACTTACAGAATACTTAAGTTTATAGTTAGATATTAAACTCCAAAATTTAGATAGGTTCAGGTAATTCCATCCACATTTAATCATGTCAAGCAATAAATCTTTAATCTGATGATTTGAAATTCTTCTTTGCTTACATACTTTGCATATTACCCATATTAAACCCATCATATATCGGTTTTGGCCAAGTGCCAGGACATAACGCACTCAATGCCATTATAAACAATTTATGATCCCACCGTTCACCGTTGGGAACCTCCGAAAGTGGCCAAGTAAATTGGCCAACTCGCTGCGTCCGATAATCTGCAAAGATCTTTTGCCTAAGTGGATCTCTAGTTGGATGGCTGGTGGACTCAGCACGTCAAGTTTAGAAAAATGAGCTTGTTAACGCTCCATGATGAGCCCAGTTAGTGTCTAACCCGGAGCCAGATCGATTCGATCCGTTCGCTCGAAGATGGAGATGGATGTGAATGTGGCGGCTGAGCAGATCGCCCTATCCTATCCTATGCTATCCTATCCTCTACAAACCCATACGATCCGATCCGAGACTCATCATTAGGGCCCTGTGTAAAATTACAACACGATAACACGTAATCATTAGCGTTGCTCGGGGACGG